ACTTCAAGTTGGTAGATGTAAATAATTATAGATTTACAAAGCTGCCATTTCTCACCGTGGCTTTTAAACATCCCAAAGTCACAGTTCCTTCGGATACGAAGAAACTGTACTGATGTAACAACATATAATGTTCAAGCAAATAAATTGAAAAGCCGCTTCTTAGAAAAGGGATACAATAATGATATCTTGCAAAGTACAATAGAAGAAATAAAATCTCAGGAAAGACCAAAACTTTTGGAGTATAAGAGCAAAAATGCCAATACAAATCAAAATATTCCCTTCCTATGTAACTTTAACTCGAAGAGCAAACAAGTTAGACGGATTATTACAAAATTTTGGCCAATATTGAGGGCTGATCCCATATTGTATAATTTATTACCAGAACAGCCAAAAGTCATTTATAGGGGAGCCCCAAATCTGGCATTAAAACTAGTTAAAAACCATATAAAAAATGACAATAAGCCAAAAACCTTTTTACATAAAGACGGCTTCTTTGGATGTGGGCTATGTATATCGTGCAGACGGACAGGGAGTAGCAAGAGAAGCGTGACCACCTTTTTACATCCTCAGGGGAAAAAGAAATATAAGATAAAAAATATGATTACGTGTTATACTAAGCAAGTCATATATGTACTTCAGTGTACATGTAATTTATACTATGTAGGAAGAACAAAACGTCCATTATATATAAGGATAAACAAACACGTTCGCAATATCAAGAAAGGATTTATGCAACATAGTGTTTCGTCTCATTTTAAGGAACATCACGGTTGCGATCCACAATTCTTGACTTTTTTTGCTATTCAAAAAGTCCACCCCAATTGGAGGGGTGATGACATAATAAAGAAATTGGGTCAGGCGGAGATGCGGTGGATCTTTGATTTGGGTACTCTGGTCCCGCATGGTCTCAATGTGGACTTTGAGTTGTACCATTTCTTGTGACCCACTGTGCCTCTGCCTGATCAAATTCAGGTTAGAAGTGACCTATTAGATCCCTGTTAAAACCTACACTTAGTCAAAAGGCTTATTATATCTGTGTCAGATCCATATTGAATTAAATTTTTTTTTTTCTGATCTAATATTAGGGATTTTTGCACTGTACATGGCTATACATTGGACATTTTTCCACATTTTTTTTTTTATTATATATAGTGAGGTATCATACATATATATTGGTGAAGTTTGGAGTCACATCTCTTCATTATTTTACATTAGCCTGATTTAATAACTTTTTATTCATTGATGTTATATTATCTTTCTCTCCTCCCTCCTTTGACTTTGAGCGAAATTCGCTATAGTATTGTTAAGTATGATGGGATTGCCATTTCTGCTGTACCGGAAGTGACCAAACAATGCGGCCGCAATGCATTTTTGGAGATGTAGTCCTGCCCATCTGTAGATGATTCAATGCAGTAATATCATTGAGTTAAGCTGTGAAGGGGAGGAGTCAGACACAAGGACGCATTCTGATAGGATCAGAGTTGAAGAGGAAGTCTCATACTGATGATGTAAATACTGGAACCAGGAAGCAACACCATGCCGATTGAAAAAGCCTACAGGATAGGTGAAACGTGTTTCGGAAGGATCCAAACGGACTTTTTATATATTTTTCTTTTATTTGTATTTCATGTATTTTTATTTGCATTTGAATTGCATTCAATTTTAATTTTAATCATATTAAATAGCACTTTTTTGTGCATTTCCGTTTAACAAGTGGATCCAGTCTTTGGTGTTGCCCAGGTTCAAGAGGGGGTTGTCACCCTTTATTTGACACAAACGTTTGAAACTCAGAGCCAGTTTGGAAGGCTCTGAGTCAGGTGAGCAATTTTATATTATCTAGAATTGTGTTTTTAAACCTGCAGATCTCACTTAGAGATCCTTTTCTTTCCTTTCTCCATCATACATATTGGAATTGTGACCGGGGAAGAGATCCAGAAAAAGGGGGTGTATGTTACCCTATAACATACCAGCCGGAAAGTTTAGAGCCTGTTTCTAAAAAGGCTCATTACCATGTGAGTGTGCCATTAAGTAGATAACTCCAGTTTGTGGTTTAAAACAACCCTGCACTATATATTCTCTACTTGTGTTTTTTCATATATGTCCAACTAAGTTGAACCACCCGATCAATATCAACAGGGTGAGTTGACTTTATTTTAAATTAGCGCTGCACTTAAACTGCACGGAGTGGAGACGATTTTTCTTAATTTCTATCTTCTCTGTGTGTCTTGTTATGTTTAAAAATCAGACTGTTTCAAATGGCCATGGAACAGCTGATGGAGCTCTGAGTTCTATGCTGGACTGGGTATGTTTAAAAATCAAATGTGGAAAAAAATAAATGTGGAAATCCAGGTAACACACAGAATACATAATTTCATAGTAACGTGTAAACTACAACAATCACATAAAACTCGATGACAATTCCAAACCAATGGAAATAAAACCGTCAATGTATACACAAAACATTACGAGCCCAACCTACCTTAGACCAGTGAGACATATAAAGGAAGCAAACAGAAAGGGTGGGATAGCAAAGCAGGGTGGGAAAATACTCGCCTCCTGTCATTACTAAAATTAAGATTATTAGTACACTAAAGCTAGTATGATCTTCAATTTACATGACATGAGGCTTTATATTTTGCAATTTTAACGCTGTGAAAGGAGAAAAAAAGCAGCATTAGAAGAGGGGCGAAAACAGAAAGTCTGGAAAATCTCTTCTCGAGAACAATCCGCCGGTCGCAAGATATACGAAAGCGAGGCATCTGCCGAAAAGGCCTAAGAAGCCGCCGCCCTGTGGACAGAATGCACACTGAACGAGGGGTCCACCTCAGCAAGGGATAGGAAACAAGGAAACCATCTCACCAACATTTAAACCAACACGGCTTTATGAGGGCTCATGCAGGAGACAAGCAATTATCCGGAAGGCGACCGTCGCAACGAAGGGGTGAGCTCAATATACCAATACAAGGCTGAAACCATGAAATAGGAATAGGAAACGAAAAGGAATAGAAAAACAATCCAACTTGCACGAGAGACAGGGAACGTGACCCCGTCCATGAAAAAGGTAAAAACGTCCACCTCAAACGCCTGAAACATGACGGAAAGACACCAGACGAAGCAGAAACGTAAACTTGCCTGATAACAGATGAAGAGAAAGTTTGTCATTAGGTGGCCAGTCCTGTAGAAAATGG